ACGGAACTTAAAGCTCACGAAAATGACAATGATAATATAAAATAAAATGCTCGTTGTTTCTGTCAACTTCATTAACTCTTTAGACGTGTCTCTTTGGCACATTTGTGAAAGTGTTGATAAACCATTAAAAGTGTTAGATTTTCTTTTTAGGCTTGCTGAGTAATGAAACGTTTGTTGCCAACCTTATGTCTTTAGGTGAGATTCTAGGACGCTAAAGACTTATTCCATTTTTATTTTTATATTTTTCTTTGAAATCTTCATTTCTCGATTTGCTTATTTAGCATATATATTGCTATCTTGCCAGGGCCGGTCCTATGATTTAAGTGGCCTAAAACATCTTATTTATAAAACCAAATATTAAAGGTTTTTTGTGAAAGAAAAAAAGAATTAAACTATCAAATAAAATAATAAGTGAACTGAAGAAAAAAAAAGAGGGGAAAGTGCCCACGAAAAAAACAAAACTGCTCACGGAAAAAGAAAGAAGAAAAACGAGTGCCACAAAAAAAACACATAAATGGCGAGGGAAGGATTCGAACCAGTTCATCTGACATAAAATTGGACTATTCAACCAGCAGACCAAAGATATAATTTAACAAATGTGGCCCTTTCGTTTACTCTTATATCATGTGGCCTAAAGCAAGTGCTTCACTTGCTTTATGGACGGGCCGGGCCTGTATCTTGCTAACGTGGGTTGTGCTAATTATAATTTTATAAGTTTATTCAATACATTCCTAATTAGTCGGGGGCAATGTTTATGATTGAGTTTTGAAAATACTTTTTTCATAATATGAAACCTAAATAATCATTTGTTTTGAAGTAAAAGTGTTAGGGTGTTTAATGACCACATAAACAGGCTTTTAGACAGAAAAGATGATAAATTACAAGTTTTTAGCAAAGAAATTATCAAATCAGCGACTTTGATGCTTAAAACAAAACTTTGAGATTGGAATAGATTGAAGTGACTCGGCTAAGAAAGTTTATTACTATAGACCTTAGCCTCATTGTATGTTGGAGCTTCAAAGAAAAATATGTGTCAATGGACCCAAAAGGAGGAAAAAAATGTAAGCAAAAAGCAAATGGAATAATATGTTTATTTATCGTATAAGAAATTATTGGCTCTTAAAAAAAAGGAGGTCATATATGCTATATGGAGCATCTTGAGAACTTTGATTTTATGTTGGATTCTTTGATTGTAACCAAAGATGGGCACTTTTGTGCCCACTTCTCACTTTCGACACTTTTTGTTGAATTATTGGTGAGTTTCTTGTTTTTATTTTACATAAAATATAGTTATTTCTTTTATTTCTTTTGATCATGATGAAAGTTCTCTCACAAATCGCATATATTCTTCAAAGGTTTCTATGATAGAGGAATAATCATAACATTCTTTTGTCCATTTGCTCCAACTTTCAATGGACTAGCTTTCTTCTTATCCTTTATTTTCTGCACTTCGATTGCTTTTTTCTCCCATCCCATGATTTGATATAATAAAAGCTTCAATCTTTATTAACCTACCCTTCATAGTACGACTAGTTTGATTCTGAAATCGGGTAGCTTGTTCTGTAGAATTGTTGATACACCGGAATGTTTTTATTAGTTTGGCACCTTCTATTTCACACCATTATTATGCAATTGCATCAAGTTAGTTCAACTAGTTATTTTTTTTTTCGATCTTGTCATACTCAAATCCAAACTTAAAATAAATAAGTTTTGGAACAATTTTTGTGTCTATAAACTTATTTTTTAGCAAATAAACTTAAAACTTATTTTTTTCGATCTTGTCATACTCATATTTATTTTTGTGTCTATAAACTTAAAATTTTAGAAACCGTTACTTTAGATAAAATTTTTTTTACATAATTGGAATATTAAAATAAGTAAGTTTTGTTATGAACGTCTATTATATTAAAGTTTTCCTTACAATAACAATTGTTCATTTTTTTAAATATATTTTAAAAAATAAGTACTTTAAAACTACTAAATGAAAGTCATGGTCTAGAACGACTCTACTAGAGTCACTCTAGGTGTGGTGGCTCTGGTCACACCATACCCTAATAATACTCACCACCAGGGGACAAAGTGACAAACGAAGCGGCTAAAGCAAAAAAGCTAGCTAAATCATTGCGCGCGAGTTGTTACATATGATTGGGCCAACAGGCCCATTAACCATTGTGACTACAAACAAACACATAAATAAAAATGTAGCCTAACTGCAATTGTTTTGTGTATCACGTTTAGGGTTTACAGAAAGAAATCCCTAAAATGAAGAGAGGAAGAGAAGAGAATGATAATGATGATGATAAGACCTCAAAATCTCCTACATCGCATGATCTGAAACGTACGTGCTCCCGTGAAATCAAAGCCGCTGCTAGCAAGCTCCCTCTCGATCTAAAGGTGGAGATTCTGAAGAAACTCCCAGGCAAGTCCTTAGTAAGGTTCCAATGCGTCTCTAAGCAATGGTCAACCATAATCAGCAGCCGTAAAGATTTCATAGACTCGATCGTGACTCGGTCTTTGGCTAAGCCGCTGCGTGATGATCTCCACTTCATCTTCCACCACAGTCGTTCCAGTGAGCCTTTCTTCTTCTTCTCATCTACTTACACTCACAAAGAACACCCAATATCAATCACTGGGATAAAAAGCCTAAGATGTTCCTTAGAGTTTCAATACGTCCGCGGTTTGATATGTTATTCCACTTTAATCTCTCATGATTTGGTCACAATATACAACCCTACCACAAGAAAATCCGTTTCTTTACCTGATATCAAATCTCCTAATATCATGTACAGAAGCTGTTTCTTTGGGTACGACTCTGTCATGGATCAATACAAAGTAATGAGCGTGACTAATAGGTTAGAAAAAACGTTTGAGCATGTTTGTCAAGTTTTTACATTGGGAGATCCAATGAAGCAATGGAGGAAGATTCAAGGCATTGAAAGTCACTGTCCAATAGGCAGAAGTGTACACATCAATGGAACTATCTATTACGGAGGAAACCCACATGATAACAATGATGTAACAAGTGAATTTATGCTTGTGAGCTTCGATGTTAGGTTCGAGAGATTTGATCATATTAATGCTCCTATAGTAGTGACAAATGACATGACGTATCCGGCTCTAGTTAACTACAAAGGGAAGTTAGGATGCTTTTGTTACAAAAACATCGGCGTAGAGATGTGGGTTATGGAAGATGTTGAGAAACAAGAATGGTCGAAAACTATCTCTTGCTTGCCTAATGTCCCGTTGGGGCGATATCCGTATTACGATCGGTGCGTCACTTTAGGTGGGAAGATATTTGTACTCCAACGTAGATATGAGCCTGATGATCCTTTGGCTATCTACTATTATGATCCGAAGGAAAACAGTTTTAGAAGAATTGAAATCCAATGTACTACACCGCGTAGGGATGATTTTATTGAGGTAGTGTCTGATCATGTTGAGAATACAATGCGTTTGTAAGATAGGTTGCACCACATGGTCAAGAACTCAACCATTATTTTCGAAAGCATGCTTTCTAACAAAAATCCATACGTTCTGCAAGTTACATCAACAAAAAAATTAGGTCATAAAAACGGAGCTTTCTTGCAGAAGAAGATATAGAATGGAGATGTTCTGACATACACATACTTTCGGAAATTTCTATGACTTGATCAGTTATGTCAACAGAAGGAGTTGGTTTGTCAAATGGCTTCCATGGGAGCAATTTCGTTTGATGCTGCTGGTGTTAGGGTTTGTGTACGACCGACGAGTATAAAGGTTTCCAAATGCACATCCACGACTCTTCTGACAATTGCAACACGATCGACATCATCACCAGCCCGAGCCTTGCAAGGGTCCTTGTACCTAATGTAGAAAATAGCATCATAGGCGCCAAGTCCCTTATAAAAGGGCTCCTCCTCCTCCAGGTGTGGTGTAATTTCCATAGCCACTTTCAGAATCTTCAAATTGGCCACACCTTCTTCTAAATGGTTCCTATTACTTGTGGCAACTGCAAGTTGCAAATACAGACGAATCCATTCATTCTTAAGAACCTCTGATTTTTTCAGCTGCAAGAAAACCATATATATGTATATCAGTAGCTACTAGGTGAGCATAAGGTAAAACTCAAGAGTGGTGTTTAAATACCAAGCGAAATCGGTCTGTATCATCTTGGAAAGGATTGACTGGGGGTAACTCAGGCATGAATTTTGCGACTTTATTAACAGTGGTGCATTTCTTGGGTTCCCCTATACAATAACTCAGGATGATGTAGTTTTGTTCTTGTATATATGTAAGGAATACCAATTAAATAGTATTATATTACCTGGAGGTCCAGAACTAGTGCAGACCAAAACCAATCTGCCATATTTTTTTTCATTAACTTGAGCCTTAAAAGTTTGATAAGACGACTCTTGTGGATCCTTGGCTTTCAAAGTTATGTTGTAACCGGAAGCAGCAGAATGCACGGTCTTGGTGAAATGCGTTATGTGACCGAGCTGCAACGATTTTCCCTATATTCAAAAAATTGAAATTGAACAAAGAAAGAAATGGATTGATAGAGATATAGCTAACAAAAAAAAGGGAATAATTATTTACCCGGAGAAAATTGTAACGATGAAGGCCCAACCTAGCATAAAGGAGGGCTATTAAACGACGACCTGGGTCCCGACACTGGGAGTAATTGAACCGAGCAGGAGTAAAGCCCTAAGATCAGTTTGTTTGTTATTGATGATCGAGAAGAAGAATCAATTAAAAACAAACAAGATGAAATAATATATTAATTACCGGATGTACGACATACTCTTCCTTCTCACAACCACCGTCTTTTGACTTGAACCTCGACTCACAACCACCGTCTTTTGACTTGAACCTCGACGCCTTCGGCATCTTCTCTTCGGATGGATGGATGCTTTTAGGTCGATTTAGGTTTACTTCACTCCACGCCATTTTATATACCTCACTTATGGGCTTTAACTGGGCCTTGACAGCCCATTTATATAACTCCGCTTTTCAGCCACGACAGAACAACGACCAAAGCATCCAAGAGATTTGACTTTATCACAGTTAAAAACCGTAAAAGACGAATTATGCATATCGAAACTGACTTGATCAGTTACGTCAATAAAAGGAGTTGGTCCATCGGTTCATCTGAGTCTTGATCCGGCATTGTTACCAGGTTGTTTAGAGAAGAATGCTCATCCACCATGTTGAGGTAAGGCCCACCACCTTATCTTTTCAAGAGACATTATTTTAGATGATCATCAGTGTCTTATTTAACCAGTTGGCCATTGAAGCATTTGGTTATGTTGTTGGTTACAGATGGTCCTTCAAAGGCTGTACAGACTTCGGTTTGGGATTCTCAGAGATCGGTTAATGTCGATGAATTCGACCAAGTTGAAGGCGAAGAAGTAGCACCGCCTAGTTACACAAACACAATAGGCTTGTCTCTGCTCAAGCAAACATTAACATATTCAGGTATTGTAAATTTGGAAATTTTCTCTTTTTTCTTTTTTGAAAACAGAGGAAAAGAAGAGCCAGAAAATAAAATCACCGTCTTGAAGAAAACGGTGATTGAGACATGAAACTTTTTTTTTTTCTTTTTCTGTAAATGGCAAAACGACCTCATTTTGGTCAGGACATAGAAAACGCACCCTCTAAACGGGCCACGTGTAATCCGAGTCACCGTTCCGTTAACAAGTTATAACGGATTCTGTTAATTTGGTTGTTTAAGCATGAATTAATAAGTTGATGTAGTTATTTCAAAATATTTGTTTTTTGTTTTTTTGGGGCTAAACCAAAATATTTGTTAGTTGATGTAAGTCTAGGCACAATGAAATAGAGACCATAGTTCATGGGCCTTACACTTTGCTACATGGGCCTGGGTATTACTGTAATTAAAATAGTTATGTGAATGTGTATGTCGGTTTACTTTGTAGATCGGCGTAACGTGTCGTTTCTAATTATAAAACGTGTGTAGTAAGTTTCGCGAAGAACCCTAGATCTTCTATTTCATTCACCGAGATCTATCGAAGAGAAGCAAGCAAATCTCTGTTTCAGAAACTCCAAAACCTCTCTCTCTCAAACTCACTGATTCGTGTGTGTTGTGTTCCGATGGAGGTAAGAAAAGCTTCTTTCTTGACTTTCGCTCTTTGTTTTTTTTTTTTTTTTTTTTTGGTTCTACAGATCGATCGCAACTTTGTTATATTTGATTGCAACTTTTCTGGCTGGTTCAGATTTCTGTTGTTGTTCTATTTTTTTTTTAATAGTTTATAATCATTATATATGCAGGTTGCCCGTGGTGGTCGTGGACAGTCTTCAAGTGATCGTCGTGGTGGTGGGGGATCAGCTCGATTTGGCGTTTCACGACACTCTGACTTCCGAGGTTTGCTATGAGAAGTTGGTATTGATAGCGTTTGGTTTAATCTTCATTTCTTCTGATTACTGGATGGCTTTTTTTGCAGTTATCGTTCGTGGACTCCCATCATCTGCTTCATGGCAAGATTTGAAGGTCTGATGACACTTATGTTTGACTGTAACATTTTGGTTTCTAGTCCTTAGTCTTAGTTTTCATCTCAGAATCATATGCGGAAAGCTGGTGATGTGTGCTATGCTGAGGTCACTCGAAACAGTGATGGAACTTATGGTGTTGTTGACTACACCAACTATGATGACATGAAGTATGCTGTAAGTTCTTCTCTCTTGATGTGTACCAAGCTATGATTTGTATAATTACTGATGTTGTGATTTCAGATAAGGAAACTTGATGACACAGAGTTCAGAAACCCCTGGGCTAGAGCTTTTATCCGGGTATTCTTTTTTTTTTTGTTTGCCCATAAAGAAAGATTTTATACATCATGATGGAACTGTTATTCAACTAGATTTGAAAGATACAAGTAGATTTCACCTTTCTTCTCAACTCAACATTTTACTTTGGTTGATGCTTCGTTCTCTCCACTCCCATTCTTAAAACATCTGTGGCTTTCGTAGTCTCAATTGTTTAGGAAAAAAAATTGATGTTGGCTCATTTGAAATCATGATTTCATAAGTAAATAATGATGTTATATCTGTGCGTTCTGCTTATATGCAGGTTAAGAAATATGAAAGTTCCCAATCGAGAAGCCCAAGCAGAAACCGAAGCCGAAGCCGCAGCCTTAGCAGGAGCAAGAGCAAAAGAATAGGGGTTAGTTATGAAATGGAGATGGAGGTTCTTGAGTTTCGCTCTTTGTTTGTTTAGTTTGTATCTGTTTCCGATTTCCAGATTGAATTATTTTCTCGGAAACCTTCTTCGAATTATTTTTCTCTCTTCTAACTCGATTCTTTTTTTTTTTTTTTTGGTTCTACAGATCGATGACAACTTTGTTATGTTTGATTGCATACCCGGTAGTAATGATAATTTGATCTTCGGAGGATCCCTAATCTTTTCTGAGACGCTGGATAGTATTATGACTATCTGTAATTACGATTTGAAGGGCGACTACAAGGCGATCCATTCCATGCTCAACAATAGAATGTGGATGGTTCATGACCAAGTCAATTGTACAAGGTTGACTTACGGATGTGAGAAAATTGGAAAACCACCTCCCATTCCCAAATCTATAATTGATACATCTCTCTTCACGTCGTCCAAAACGAAGGTAGTTTTTTTTTTTTTTTTTTGGTTCCTTGTCATTTGTTAACAAGTAACATGAACAAGTTCTTGGATGCAGCTGGGCCGAGCTGCTGTAATGTTCGGTTTGGGTATGCAAAAACAACAATATGGGATGATCACTTTGGCTCACAAAGAGAACCTTTCTGCTATCTTGACATGTACAGGGATCATGTCAAAGTTGGATGTAAGTTGTTATCTAAACATAAAAAAGTGACACTAAAATCTGAAACTCACCGTTTGTTGTGTGTTTGCAGGTGCCAATGGAGACTTTAAATGGTACAGTCCATCCTATGATTTATTATCTCATGCAATATAACGATCAGATGAAGGATGAGGTCAGAGCCCGCTATTTTAACGAGGCTGAGTATCCATCATTCAACAAGATTGACGATCTACCAATAATGCTGTTGGCGGACGATGTGCTAAAGAACCGCAAGGCTGAGCTCAAGAAACTCTACTCTGAGATAGAGAAAGAAAAGGAGGATGAGCGCATATCCTTGGTCTATTACAAGTACGAGGAGATTGAGGGCTTGTACACGTACAAGGGGGATAAGCTAAAGGAACACGAGACTCGTAAGGAGGATGAGCTAAAGAAACACCAGACTCATAAGAAGGATGATGATGATGATGTTGAGGATGAGGATTCTGACAATTGCGACGAGTGTGCACGTACAAGGGGGGGATAAAGGACCAAGACCAGGATGATGAGGATGACTAAGTACGCGTGGTTGCTTCATTGATCATCTTCTATGGATTCCATGTTTGTTAGTGTTTTAAACACAAGCTTTTCGCAGACTTTCTATGTGTGTGTGTGGACCTTTTGTTTTCTATCCAACTTAAACCTTTTAAGAAAAGTTTGAAATCAAGATATTATTATTATCATGTTTTTCTCTTTTTGTTGTGTAAAATTTGCCTAAAACCTGGTCTCCTTTTTCCTTACTAGACGTACACAGGAAATATTTTGATTGCGGTAAACCCTTTTAATCAAGTATCGGATCTTTACAATGACACAATATAAAGGAGCAGCTTTGAAGTTGTTGAATTTTTTCATGTTCCATTCATCATTGGTTGTTACCTGCTTGACATTTTCTTTTCCTTCTTTTTTATTGGGTGTAGACAAATGATTAATGAGGGAATTAGTCAATCGATATTGGTAAGTGGTGAAAGTGGAGCAGGGAAGACTGAGACTGCTAAAATGCTTCTGAAATATCTGGCGAAAATGGGAGGTCGAGCAAAGATTTTATTATAGGACCTTGTCAGAGGATTGTCAAAGACAGGATTACTAATGGGTTATGTTGTCTTTGTGTGCAGTCCAATCCTGTTTTAGAATCATTTGGAAATGCAAAAACCGTCAAGAACAACAATTCAAGGTGAACACACACTGTCACATGTTTATTTACTGAATGTCCGTTGACCATCTATATAATCACGTTGCAGTCGATTTGGTGAATTCGTAGAGATTCAGTTCGATCAAAGGGGAAGGATATCAGGACTTGTTTGCTTGAGAGATCACGAGTTTGTCAAGTGTCGAATCCCGAGAGAAACTATCACTGTTTTTACATGCTTTGTGCTGCACCAGCAGAGGTACATATGGCTTTTCTTTCTTCTAACATGATAGAGTTTTTAGATAGCTGGAGGCTTTGATATTTGATATGTCCATCAATCATGATACACTATCCACGACCAAGTATTTTGATAAATAGTAAAAAAAAAAGTTGCATTTCTCTCTTTCCCATTTATTTGAAAGTTTGAAACTGCATTGAAATTTTGCAATGTTTTCTAAGCCAAATCTCTGAAACTATTGTCTCATTTTCCTTTTAATATCTCACAGGACAAAAGAAAACTAAAATTAGAGGAGCCAACAACATATCGTTATCTGAATCAATCTCAATGCATTAAGTTAGAGGGGGGTGGATGATTCAAAGGAGTATACTAAAACCCGAGAAGCAATGAGCATTGTTGGGATAAGTTTAGAGGAGCAGGTAGTTCTTTACCCTTCTTCTAGTAAAAAATGGTGATATCTGTATTAAGACAAATAGTAAGATCAAACTTGCTAGTTGTCATTATAAACGACTTTCAATGCGCTAGCTTATAAGAAGCTTCTGCACGAGCTTCCTCCAATTTTGCTGACAGCTCTTTCATGAAAGGTGTGCTCGTTCCATGGCTGATCCGCAGAATGTCAAATGCCTTAATCAGTGAACTCACTGCCTCTTTGGTTTCACCCAGCAACCTGCAACAAAACAACTCTGCTTTCATCAGCACAATGATAGATTTTGAAGATAACAAAACAACTCTGCTTTCATCAGCAATTCAGCACAGTCCAGAAATGTCAAGTTATATTGCACTCAGACTCAGATTAACGTAGAAAGTTAATATAGATGGTAATTTCATAAAGGCACACACCATGAATCAGCATTTCCTATAATACTCTGAGATCCTGACCGAGAGTCACAGTAGAATAAGAGTCTCAAGCATTATAGTAAGTAAAGCAGATGGGGGAACATGTAGTGGAATGGCTGGTTCGATAGTTTAGGGAAAATACTTATTTGGTCCTACGGATTTTGACGGGAGAATTAAATAGTCCAGTGATATAGAGCATAAATCTGTCTTGTCTTCAAAATCTATTTCAGTTTCCACAGCTCAAAATCTAATCCACTAAACTAGAGAAAGGATAAAAGAAGTTTTGATACCATTCGAGTTTTCCCTGTGCAGTCCAATCAAAGGATGGGTTGCTGGATATACTCCTGCAATTTTATGAACAAAGTGACCACAAGTCATACATATAAAAGTAGGGTTTCACTCTCCCATGATTGGTCCACTTAGCATTTTTTTTTTATATTTTCTTAAATTTACCTTTAATATATTAATCTCTAATTAACTCCCTTTAAAACTCATGTGTAACTCCACATTTAAATTCATTTGTAACTCCTCCACTAAAATGCATTAACTATTTGAAAATGATATTGACTATAATTTAAACTCTATATTTAAACTCAATAGTAACTTCTACCAATAAATAATAATTTGTAACTCATACTCAATAATTATAAGAGTTTCACCACTTCTCATCTATAAATATCAATTCTCTTATCATTCTCCACCATATTTTCAAATCTGTAAATTTACTTTATTTTATGTTCTTGCATGAGTTAAAAACAATTGTGTCATGGTGATAGTGAAGGTTTGATTGTAATATTTATTTTTAAAGATTATATGATATGTAGTTTACATTGTATTCAATTTGTATTTCGTTTATTTTATTTTTAGAGATCATATGGTATATATGTAGTTTATATTGTATTCCATTTTATTTTGTTTTCACCGCATTACAAGAATATATTTCTTTCATTTATAGTTTTCAAAATTCTTGCTATAATATTTATCTGTTTCCCGATTTATCTATGGAAGTTCAAAAGCTAACTATATGAAATGATATATCTTCGTTTTTTACTATTGATGTATGATTATTCTCTTTATCTATTTATTCAAACAAAAAACATTATTCGATGTTTTAGCATTTTGAAATTAAAATTTTCAATGCATTTCTCAAATATATGTTCCAACATGTAGTGATATGAATATCATTGTAGTATTTTTCCAACAAAATTAATTTAATAAAAACAGTTAGATAATCAATAGCAAATGTTTAAATATCATGTTGGTAAAAAGACGTGAGAAAAAATATCTTTAATGAAAAATGTATGATATTCATGTTAGAAGAAAAACTGTTTTCCTTTGCATCAAGCACACAAAAATTATGATTGTATATAAATAAGTTGAATTTTCTTAAAATTGGAGATATTAGAACTTAGACTTAATAAAAAAATGTAAGTAGGTGTTAGATATATCTAGAAACTACACTATTCTTGATATATGTTTTTTTAATTACAATATACAAATAATTTATAAAATATTTCGAGTCGTACCACTTAATTGATTAATTCTTACAACACTAAAAAATAAGTGTTGTTAAAAATTATGCATTGTAATCATAGAAGAATATGTGTGATAATATTAAAAAGCATAATTTTCTTTTAATTTTCATTTCAAATTTTAAATTCATGTTTACAATAAAATTGTAACAAGTCACGCGTAGCGTGGCTACATTCATCTAGTAATATATATATAACCACCAAAAGAATTTGAACGATTTGACAATTACTAAGTAGCTGTTTTCTGTTGAAGGTATATAATTAGCAGCCATTAATTCTAATACAGTTAGCTCTTATACTGTATGCAATTAGTTCGTACAGTTATTATAAGAAAATGTACCTATATATATAGAGCTTCGAAGTTATGTTCAAAATATATATCCCACACCTAGATCTTATATACTAGATGCCTGGTTATTGGCTTTTAAGGTGTCCAGAAGAAAAAGAAAATATTGATCAAACTTACTGCGTCAAGGAGGAAAGTAATATAATCAAGATGAAGTAGACATACTTTGGTAAACCGGGACTATTAGTCTGCAGTAATTCAAAGCTTCTCTCCAGCTTTCTACGTCCATTAGCATCTGCAAAAGAATGAGCAAAGGCAAGCTTTGAGATACCACATTTGTATGTCTTTCCAAAACTTTGTACAATCTCCACAAGTCCAGTCCAAAACATTCTTTCAAAAAGAAACGTACCTTGAGAAGTTTTTCACGGGTTCTCATTAAAGTGATGGAGAAAGAATGGTAAAGCTTAACTTGTAGTTTCTCAATTGTCTTATATAATGCAATAGTGTCTTCTTTATCTGAAAATGGTCAAAGATTCTCTCAGACAACTTGCAACACAGCTCAATCTCTTTTGCTAAAATTTAATTACTTAATTAAATTTATGAATCTTACCATCTACCAGATTTACACAAGAAAAAAAAAAATTTGATCACAAATAAAGCATTTTAATAAAATACGTACACCTAATGTTAGAAGAAAAAAAAATTATAACGAGATTGTTTTTCAATAATAACAACGGAGTTTTATAAATTTTTCATTAATGTAGGGAAAAAGAAAAAAGAAAACTCTCTGAAAAGCCAAAAGGAAAAAGAAAGCAATAGTTACACAGACACAACAGGCTCGTCTCTTCTTAATCAAACAAGCCTTTATTTCTTGGCGCACAAGAAAGGAATCCTTTTATTTTTAGCCAACATAAATTATTTTCTTACATGAAATACTACTTTGGAGTCTGTTGATGTTTCAGAAAAAAAACCCCTAGCTGCTACCTAATTTCATGAACATGTCTGAATGAAACATAGTGATGACTTCTTCTTCTTCTTCTTCTAATATCACTTCAAAAAAGGTAACAGCAAGTACTCTGCATAAAAGAGCTGATGCAGAATTGGAGAAATGATCAGTAAATGGTGTGAATTGAATCCAAATTGGAGTGAAGAAAAATGCGGTAAAGACTATTTATAAAGAATCTAACCTTCCAAATGAACATATAACATGAAGTTATTTCGGTTTTGCTACTCAGATCAACAGACTTAGCTCGAGTCCACAAAGTTGTTGCGAGTATAACATGACCCACGACCTAAATAATCAACAGAACAGAACAAAAATGAAACCTTTATCACTCAAACTATCAATTAGCAAGTTTTTTGATGGGTAAAGAAAGATTGTTACCGAGACGACTTTGCTCCATATGAAAGGAGACGTGGCTCCAACTAGAATCGCAACAGCGTAAGCCATTTGAAGTAGTGAAACACATGTCCAAAACACCTGAATTTTGCAAGAAACAAAAAAAAAAGTTTCTTTTGTCTGTAATCTTAATCCAGTACTTGAGTCAAACAACTTCTTTAGTTTCGATATTTTACCTTTTTCTGACCCAGAGTAACAGAGAATGATCGGATTCCGAAGATCTTATCCCCTTCAATGTCAGGTATATCCTGCATCAAACCGATATAGAAAACTTCATATCCAACAACAAAATGCTTTACTTTGAGTATGCAAAGAGTTAGTTTCTTCATCTTTGTTTACCTTAAACAATGCGATAACGACAGAGAAAAAGCTCATAAACGCAGTAGCGAAAATAAGAGGCCTCGTGAACAAGATTGGTCTTCCAAACACATGGGTCTGCAACAAAGTTTCACAGCTTTGGTAACATAAAAGTGATTTTGATGAATAAAAACTTCAAAACGTAAGGAAATATGGTTTAGTACCTGAATATGTAGATAAAAGGCGATTTGAACAATAATAGCTCGAACAGCGAGGATACACATTGCTGCAACCAATGCAAATCTTTTCCACCGTAAAAGTGGCAACTGTTTGTAGTAAAAGTAAGTTATCAAAACCTCACTAACCCAAAACTAGAAACCGCGATTTTGATTTGAACCAAATTCTAGTAGTGAAAAACTTACTTACATTGATAGAGTATGCAGTACCGAGCATGAAACTCACGAAGAGAGCCCAGAACAATGGCCATGAACCAACAATCCACCCAAGCCAGAAACTCTATAAAGATTTATAACAAATTATTTTAAGTAATTTCTAGAATTCTAAAAGTTGAAATTTTGTGAAAATGGAACCATACCATGATGGAGAAGGAAGCTACTATTGCAATGCCGGTGTTAACAGAATATTCCCCTGATGCCAATGGAAGATATGGCTTGTTAACCTGCAAAAACCCACAGAGAGTATGATCGAGGCACTAGCGGCAATTAATCTCATCAGTCTCTCGAACTCATATGAAGAACACAGGCATGTTACCTTATCTATTTCAACATCAGACAACTGATTTAGCCCAACTATGTAAATGTTCATCATGAGAGCTGCAACAACAGCCTGAAAGCAAAACCCAATTGTTCAAACAGAGAAACGAAAAAAATGTATCTTCTTGATCGGTCGTTTTACCTCCAAGATTCCAGTGAAAAGTAATGGAGATATATCAGAAACCTTCTCTACTGCTAAGAAAGATACAGATAAAATGCTAAGCACCTGCAAACCCAATCACAGAGCTAATGTTATCTCCTTGAAAACCCCGAAAGATTGCGGTTAAAAGAGATACATTTCTCAAGAGAAACTTAACTGTGCCGATAACTGTATGAGGCCTAGAAAACCTGTAAAACGCATCTAACGAGTCTCTAAAAGACTTCTGTTTGCTATTCGGATCGAAAGCCTCGGGCTGACCCGCAGTGGCATTAACCCGAAATCTCGACTTATCTTTCGAATACAACAACAATGAAGATTCTTGACCATCAAGCCTAACAAGATTGTTCCTAAACTTCGGTTTAGCGACAACTTTACTCGAATCACAACGCAGAACTCGAATTTCTGCAAAATTGGGTATATATTGGTGTAAAGAGCTAAACAACATCAGAGATACTTCAATTGTAAAAATCTCAAATCAGCTAAAACCAAAGAACTTAAACTGATTCCAATATACATTGTCTCATAAGTCATAAATTCCAAAGTAGAAAATGTGAATCTTCAAAAACCCATAAAACCCTAACGCACCTGATAAAGATTGGAGCTTTAGATTCTGCTTCCTCCAACAAAACCCACCAGCTGATTGATAAAGTTGCATGCATGAGAACCAAAATTCAAAGTCAAGCCCAGAAATTAAGCTTCTCCACACAAAAAGAAAAACTTTGTCACCTACTTCGATCTAATAAACAATTCAATAAAAAAAATCGAAACTTTTTCTTTTTTCTAATCAGAAAAATTCAAACTTTTGAATGGTACTGAATCACAACAAATAAACCTGAAACCAGAAAAGGACGAGAGATTTTACCAGCGGAAACAAGAGAAGAACTAGAGAGCAGCGACTCCATTAAAGAAAGCTTCTTCCTTTCGTACAATTTACTCGCCAGAGAAGAAAATCAAAATCAAAATCAGAGACCAAAGAAGTGATTTTTGGAAACCAAAGAAATGATTTTTGAGAACAGAGAGCAAAAAGAAAAGGTTTTAGCATGAGAACTGTAGAATTGTGTGGGTCGAGGATGATTAATTGGTGTCATTGTTGCGTGTTTTTTTAATAATTTTGAATTATTAGATTATAAAATAATTAATTTGACTTTTTTGGGAAATTTAGGGAATGTACTTGGAAGAATTATTTAAACTCTTTTAGAAATTTGGAACTTATAAGTTTAATAGATTAAGCAAAAAATGTGGTGTAGATTTGCCACTTGTTTCTAGTTAAAAAAAAATATCTGACTCTGACGGACGAGGAAAAATATCACGAGTTGTCCTTTAGTTTTGTTACAAAACAAAAGTATGGTTCCTGAAATTAAATATAGTGAAACTATGGGGCAAAAGAAAATATATGTTTCCTGTCTTTTGGACAATGGAGGATTGAGCATTTCCGGTTAATGTTTTCTTAACCACCGGTTACCATTATAAATTTTTAATCTTAACCATATATTATACGATTAAAACGGTTATCGATAAATATGGTTTAGTGCTCAAATATGGTGAGATAAACAATCGAATTTACAAAAAAAAAAAAAATCTAATTTAATTCAGTTGGTTAAGTGCTCAAATTGGTCTAATCAACCAATTTATTCAAATACACATGAACTTAGTAAATTCTCAAAAATACTTCAATAATGATACATTTCCATTCAACATTTACAAATACAACTTATGCCTCAAAAAATCTCAATAAATATCAATATTCAAGAAAACGCTAGATACTATGCAAACAATGATATAACGTATAATGCTTAAAATGTTTAGTTGAGGCTTTAGATGATTTTAGATTGTTTAGATATTTATAACATAAAACATTAGATATATGATATTATATATAAAAACTAGATAGTTTTTTTTGTTAAATAAAAATATTGAATCATAAACAAAAATTAGAAACAACACTTTTTAATTTATATCAAACACTATATGAACGTATATAAGTTGTGTATATTGTTTTAAGCAGTCGAAGTGGTTGGTTGTTTAAGCGCCGTCTGAGTGCCTAGCGTCTAGCATCTAATCGGTATGTAAACGACCGCTATGACCGTTTTTTAGAACACAATACTGCAAAGTATGTTCAAATTCGGTTCGGTTTAATTGAGATTTCTAGTCATACGGGTTGGAACAAAAATGTTGGTAAGACTACGCATCATCATCTCGAAAGGCCAATCTTGTTCCGACCCTTTTACGGCCATTCAAAATCTCAACTTCAACCAAAAACCCCAAAGGCGCTAACTTTTTCTTTTATCTTTCTTCTTCACTCACTCTTCTCCTTCACCACCATCAATCACAATCCCTAATTCGGATAATATCATCATCTCCTCCAAAAATGGACGGAGCACTCTTCCCTCACAAACCTCCATACCCAATTCAATCCAAAAGATCTCCACCACCTCAATCCACAAACCAATCTATCAAATTCAGCTCCGCTACACTTCACTTACCTCCTCCTTCTCCTCCTTCTTTCCCTCTCGATTCTCTTCTTCACCATCTCGTTCACCTCTCTTCCACGCCTCCACGACATGCCGCTGCTCGTTTCCCTTCTCTCCAAGTCTCCACTGATTCATCATCGGCGAAACCCATGTCACGTTCTGTTCTGGGTGTTGAAATTGAGAACGAGAGAGATGGGTCTTTGAAGCTACTGTGTAAGAAAGAAGTTGTCTTGGTTAATTCCATTGTTGAACAGCCTTTGACTGGTTTGAGTAGGTTTTTCGATTCTGTGAAATCGGAATTGCTTAGAACTGATTTGGTTAGTTTGGTTAAGAGTCTGGATGATTCTGGGCATTGGGAAAGAGCTGTTTTTTTGTTTGAATGGTTAGTTTTGTCTTCAAATTCTGGAGCTTTGAAGCTAGATCATCAAGTAATCGAAATCTTAGTTAGGATTTTAGGTAGAGAATCTCAGTACTCTGTTGCAGCTAAGTTGCTCGATAAAATTCCTCTACAAGATTATATGCTCGATGTTCGTGCTTACACGACGATCTTACATGCGTATTCACGGACAGGGAAGTATGAAAAGGCTATCGATTTGTTTGAGAGGATGAAAGAGATGGGTCCTTCACCTACTTTAGTGACTTACAATGTGATTCTCGATGTTTTCGGGAAAATGGGTCGATCTTGGAGGAAAATTCTAGGGGTTTTAGATGAAATGAGAAGTAAAGGATTGAAGTTTGATGAGTTTACTTGTAGCACTGTGCTATCTGCTTGTGCGAGAGAAGGTTTGTTAAGAGAGGCGAAGGACTTTTTCGCTGAACTTAAGTCATGCGGCTATGAACCTGGAACTGTAACTTACAATGCTTTGTTGCAAGTTTTTGGTAAAGCAGGAGTTTATACAGAAGCGTTAAGTGTTTTGAAAGAGATGGAGGAAAACAACTGCCCAGCTGATTCTGTGACATACAATGAGCTTGTTGCCGCTTATGTTAGAGCCGGTTTTAGCAAGGAAGCTGCTGGTGTCATTGAGATGATGGCGCAAAAGGGTGTAATGCCGAACGCAATCACTTATACTACAGTGATAGATGCATATGGAAAGGCGGGAAAAGAGGACGAGGCTTTGAAGCTGTTTTATAGTATGAAAGAAGCTGGTTGTGTTCCGAATACTTGCACCTACAATGCAGTGCTTAGTATGTTAGGGAAAAAGTCGAGATCCAATGAAATGATAAAGATGTTATGTGATATGAAGTCCAATGGGTGTTCCCCTAATCGGGCCACTTGGAACACAATGCTTGCTCTGTGTGGGAATAAAGGTATGGATAAGTTTGTGAACAGGGTGTTCCGTGAAATGAAGAGCTGCGGATTTGAACCTGATAGGGACACATTCAACACGCTGATTAGTGCTTATGGGCGATGTGGTTCAGAGGTTGATGCATCAAAAATGTATGGTGAGATGACAAGAGCAGGGTTCAACGCTTGTGTTACAACTTACAACGCTTTACTTAATGCCTTGGCTAGAAAAGGAGATTGGAGATCGGGCGAGAATGTGATTTCCGACATGAAAAGTAAAGGTTTCAAACCCACTGAAACATCTTATTCCTTGATGCTTCAGTGTTATGCTAAAGGAGGGAACTATCTAGGAATAGAGAGAATCGAGGAGGGGATAAACGAGGGCCAAATATTCCCGAGCTGGATGCTTTTGAGAACACTACTTCTCGCAAACTTCAAATGCCGAGCACTAGCGGGATCAGAGAGAGTATTCACGTTGTTTAAAAAGCACGGATACAAACCCGACATGGTGATTTTCAACTCAATGCTCTCCATTTTCACGAGGAACAACATGTACGACCAAGCAGAGGGGATTCTTCAGTCTATCCGCGAGGACGGGCTAAACCCGGATCTTGTAACCTACAACAGCCTGATGGACATGTACGTAAGAAGAGGAGAGTGTTGGAAAGCCGAAGAAATCCTCAAGACTCTAGAAAAATCCCAGTTAAAACCGGACCTGGTCTCTTACAACACGGTGATCAAAGGTTTCTGCAGAAAAGGGTTGATGCAAGAAGCGGTTAGGATGCTGTCTGAGATGACAGAGCGTGGAATCAGACCGTGTATTTTCACTTACAACACGTTTGTTTCGGGTTACACGGCGATGGGAATGTATGGAGAGATAGAAGATGTGATTGAGTGTATGGCGAAGAATGATTGCAGACCAAATGAGCTGACTTTTAAGATGGTAGTGGATGGTTATTGCAGAGCAGGGAAGTATAGTGAAGCTATGGATTTTGTATCCAAGATTAAGACCTTTGATCCTTGCTTTGATGATCAATCTATTCAACGGCTTGCTCTCCGAGTACGTGAGAATTTAGAATCCTAAATCAATTTTATATATATTTGTTTTTTTTTTTTTTTTTTTTGTAGATTTGGGTTTCTTTTTTTGTATTGAATCTACATTTCATTCACTTCAAATTAAGCAAAACTTTGATGATGAATAACAAAAATAATAATAATACATGTTTTTACTCTTTAGAGAAGATTTACAAGGCTTTACTTTTGATAGAGTTTTTGAGATCGAAAGTAGAAGAATACTTGTATATTTTGTGTTCTTAGTAGATTAGTAGCAAACTTAATTATACATAAAAGAAAGGAAATCGGAGGAAATGGGAACTCTTGGTTCATTCCCAACATGCTTAAGTTCACAAAAACCCTATTGTTCCACTTTTAGGTATGTTATATTAATATTGAAAGCATGTTTTGTAAGATGACTTTTTACACTTAAAACTAATTCCTGAAATCTGCAGCAGCGTCATCATCATCATTCAACCATATCTTTGCTAATGGCTTGCCATCATTAGCTCCCGTTTCGAGGAAAAACCAGAGACCAATAAGAGCATGATTAACAAGGGTTGCTTAAAAATGGTTCTTAAGAATATTAAAATAATAAATTTAAAAATGGTTCTTAAAAATGGATCTTAATGTTAAATTTGGATCTTAGCTAAGCCACTTTAATTTTGGATCTTAGTCTTTAACAAGATTTTTCTTTAATTTTTTAGCTAAGATTTAGCTAAGAAATAGTTAAGACACCACCACCAATGGTGGTCTAAGAGTATCTAACAATGAGAACGTCTCTAAAACCGAAGAGAGACCTGAATGGTCCGCTTATGTACCTAAACCACGTAACAAGACGTGGCTCGACTACTTGTTCATTTTTTTGATACACATGACATGATTGATGGTTTTTTTTAAGTTTTGAATTTATTTTACTTCTTTGAGTGCGGCCTTATTCGTTCGCTTGTTGGTGGCAGCTGCGACCGACCAACAACCGTCTCTAGCGAGATAACAATAAGATGTTGGTCGTTTTGCTATCGAAGCAATTTTCCTACGGATTGTTCCTTTCGTTGTCGCGGTTGCGATTTAGTAATATATTTTTTTCATTTGTAATTTTATATTTACAAATTTATGGGATTATATTTTTTATGAATAAAAAATTCTAAGTTGTGAAAATAAATCTTAACCTTAATTTTATATACCTAAATTTGTAGCTATGATTTTTGCTACTGTGTCTAAATCTTTGCCCTTCTTTGGTAAATGGTAAGTTGGTAACAATTGCATTTGGTAAAAAACCAAAAAAATCTTATCAAAACTCGCAGGATATTTTATGGGGTAAACCGGAAAGATAAATTAAGAAACTGGTCCGGTTAAAGATGGAAAAAGAGAGGCACTGAGAAGATCCGAGTCATCGACCGACCGAATCATCTCTCTTCTTCTTCTCCTCTAGAAGTTGGGCGGTGGAGACTTCCATTACCTACAAATATCAGATTCTTCTTTCCTTCGCTCGATTCCATTTCAAAATTTGTTCTTCTGGGTCTCTCTCTTCTCCTGTTACTCAACAAGACGATTCCTGGGTTTGTCTAAAGTTTTGAGCTTTTTCTCTGTGGAGACTTCGATTACCTACAGATATCAGATTCCTCGATTCAAAATCAAACTTTGTTCTTGTGGGTCTCTTCTCCTATTGCTGAAGAAGAAGATTCGTGGGTTAGTTTAAAGTCGTAAGCTTTTTTTTGTGGGTGTGTAAGCAAAATCAAATGGAGTGGGATAGTGATTCCGATCTCAGCGGGGGAGATGAAGTGGCGGAAGATGGATGGTTCGGCGGAGATAACGGATCGATTCCGTTTCCGGTAGGTAGTCTTCCTGGAACGGCGCCGTGTGGTTTTGTGGTCAGCGATGCTCTTGAACCTGATAACCCTATCATTTATGTTAACACTGTTTTTGAGATTGTTACTGGTTATCGAGCTGAGGAAGTTATTGGTCGAAATTGGTGAGTTTTCTCTTCTTGACTTTTACCTTAAATTTGTGGTGATGATTTTGTTACTGTAGCGAGTCTTTGTCCGTTTTGTGGTATTGGTACGATGTAACTAAGAGAGCTTGTTGAGAGCTATTTTGACAGAAAGCTTATGGTTCTTGTTGATTATATTGGCATATTGTTAGGTATTCTTAGTTGGGAAATGTCGAAATCATAGGATTTGAAATTGGTTATAGAGGAACAAGGCTATAATGTGAGAGTTAGATGTTAGATTCAAGTTTCTAATATTTTTCTGTTTCTCTGGATTACTGTTTAGGAACTGGAACTATATAGTTTGCGTTACATGTCTTGAGTTTGTTTTTATAAGACTTGGAACTTTCGTCTTTGTGATATGTTTTCTTCTCTCATGCATTGTTGAATTAGTATTTCTGATGTGTTTTCTTCTCTCATGCATTGTTAAACTGTTAATATCTTTGCTTCATCACACAAAATGTTATTGGAAATGCGTTCTGTCATATTATATGTCTGTTGAATCTGTTTCATCGGGTTGTAGTTGTTTTTCCATGTTGTATATGCATATAGTTTAGTTCATGAGGATCTTTGTTCAATAATTTTGGGTGTGAGGAAATTTTCGCCGGCAAAGTACTGTATCTGTTCAGCTGTTAGTTATTTACCTGATGAAGTGAAAAAGAGGATTCCGTATCTGAGTTACGTTGTTATTGTTTTTTCAGCCGGTTCTTACAATGTAGAGGGCCATTTGCTAAAAGAAGGCATCCAATGGTAGATTCTACAATTGTGACGAAGATGCGGCAATGTCTAGAAAATGGCATCGAGTTTCAAGGCGAGTTGCTCAACTTTCGGAAAGATGGATCTCCCTTGATGAACAAGCTGCGTCTAGTCCCTATCCGTGAAGAAGACGAAATCACTCATTTCATAGGCGTTCTCTTATTCACAGATGCAAAAATTGATCTTGCCCCATCTCCTGATTTATCTGCAAAAGAAATTCCAAGAATATCTCGCTCATTTACTTCTGCTTTACCAATCGGAGAGCGTAATGTTTCTCGTGGACTTTGTGGGATATTCGAACTGAGTGATGAGGTCATAGCTATCAAGATATTGTCACAGTTGACTCCTGGTGATATTGCATCGGTTGGTTGTGTATGTCGGCGGCTAAATGAGTTGACAAAGAATGATGATGTATGGAGAATGGTCTGTCAAAACACATGGGGTACAGAGGCAACACGTGCTCTTGAGAGTGTTCCTGGTGCAAAGAGGATCGGTTGGGTGCGACTGGCCCGAGAGTTTACCACACACGAAGCAACAGCATGGAGGAAGTTTTCGGTTGGAGGTACTGTTGAGCCTTCCCGGTGTAATTTCAGCGCATGTGCAGTTGGGAACAGGATTGTTATCTTTGGCGGGGAAGGTGTAAATATGCAGCCGATGAATGATACATTTGTGTTGGACCTTGGCTCGAGTAGCCCCGAGTGGAAATCCGTTCTGGTCAGCTCTCCTCCACCGGGGCGCTGGGGTCACACACTTTCTTGTGTCAATGGATCCCGTTTAGTAGTGTTTGGAGGTTACGGGAGCCACGGATTACTCAACGATGTGTTCTTATTAGACCTTGATGCAGACCCGCCAAGCTGGAGAGAAGTATCCGGATTGGCCCCTCCAATACCAAGATCATGGCACAGTTCGTGCACACTTGATGGCACTAAGCTGATTGTATCAGGTGGCTGTGCTGATTCAGGAGCTCTACTCAGCGATACATTCCTGCTTGACCTGTCGATGGATATACCGACATGGAGGGAGATACCAGTTCCATGGACCCCTCCATCTCGCCTCGGACATACTCTAACCGTCTATGGTGACCGCAAGATTCTCATGTTTGGCGGTCTTGCCAAAAACGGTTCTCTGAGATTCCGCTCTAACGATGTATACACGATGGATCTTAGCGAGGATGAACCGAGTTGGAGACCTGTGATTGGGTATGGATCTAGCCTCCCAGGAGGCATGGCAGCTCCACCACCAAGGCTGGATCATGTGGCAATCAGCCTTCCCGGTGGTCGAATCTTGATCTTTGGTGGTTCGGTTGCAGGGCTTGACTCGGCTTCTCAGCTTTATCTTCTTGATCCAACTGAGGAGAAACCGGCATGGAGAATACTGAATGTTCATGGAGGCCCGCCAAGGTTTGCGTGGGGACACACCACTTGTGTGGTCGGAGGAACTCGGTTGGTCGTCTTAGGTGGTCAAACCGGTGAAGAGTGGATGCTAAATGAAGCTCATGAACTATTATTAGCAACGTCTACTACTGCAAGCACTTGATCAAGTGATGAAGTTAATGGCTTTTTAGATGTTTTGGAGAAAAGATCTATACATTAATCAAAAACATGTTCATATTGTTATGTACATGGTGAGTTTGATACGTCCATGTTTTGTTCATCTGTTGATTAATGGTTTTTTGTATATGCAATATTACGAATTGGATTTGTATATATACCACTGTCTTTTGTAGTGAATTTTTGTAAGTGGCCGAATGATCCAAAACCCAAACCCCTTTTTTTCGTACTCACAAATTTATTTCTTCGATTAGAGTTTGGTAGCTTATCCACCATTACAAAAATCCATGTCCATTAGATTTCGTTGCTTGCGTTGTTGTTATATGCGAGTGGCTTTGATCTTTTAAGTCAGCAGATCTTCTTCATTAAAGTTCTTGTTTTTAGTCGATGCCTTTTCTTTCGTCTTTTGAAGAACTCCGTTATGTTTACATGTTTTCCTCGTTTGTGCTTAGTTTCCGGGATATATTTGTCTTCCGGCCGCTTTGTGTATCAAAATCTTATCTCACCCTTGTATTTCTCAATCGTATTTTTAAGAAAAAATTTAAACTGATAATTTTTTAAAAAAATTCTATTTCACATATTCTACTTTTTTTTTTTTTTTAAGATGGAAAACACTATAACTAAAAACCAAACGTTACTCAGATTAAACATCCTTAAATTATGGTGTTGATCAGATCTTCTCTCCACGGCTCATACAATAATTTCTTTGGATTTTTAAGATTAAAAAAAAAAACCAAAAGAAAAAGTAAAGATTCGTCGGAAAAAAGCAAAAAAAGCAATGGAAGAAATGTGAAGTGTGTTTGACTCTTTGGTCAGTGTGAAAAGTAAAGTACATTTACACTTAAAAGAAAAAAAAACACAGACGACGAACCAAAACTTCACTCTCTCCTCTGAAACCAATCTTCCACTTTATCACTGTCTGCAACTTGCAACTACAACATCTAGCAAAGCAAGAACCTTTCTTCTTCTTCTCTCTTCTTAGATTCTTGTCTGAAAACTTTCCTTCCATTTTCTCTCAATCTCTCACTTTCAAGATGCCGATCAACAGAGACCCATCAACACCTCCTCCTGTTATCGGAAAAATCGGTCCTTACACTGTCTTTATGACTCCTCCTGCAACTCCTAAACCACCCGAATCTCCTTCTGCCGTCTCTCAGAAGCCTGTGATGGCACCACCGGTTCTTCCTCCGCCGCAGCAGTTTAAGTCGGTGGCTTCCTCTGAACAAGACGGTTCAGTTTTGGGGTTCTTTAAAAACGCCGTCACAAAGGTTCAAAATGGTGAGAAATCTTATAAACAATTAACTGATTTTGAGCTTAATAGTTTCCTTATTTTTAGATCTTGAGTTTGAGATTGATTTTTCTGATACCCTTTGATTGATTGATTAGGAAATGAAACTGAGAATGATAGAAATAGATGTAAAGTTTCTATCTTTGTGATGTGATTGGAAAGTACTAATGTTACATGAATTCTGGATTTTCATACTGTTTCTGTGATTTGGTCCTAAAAGCAATTAGATTGTGAATTTGACATTCATGTTGTGTGTTTAACCATTTTACTACAGCACATTCAAGTGTGGATGATCATTTGGTGAGATGGTTTGGGTTAAACCAATCTAAGTATCAGTGGGCTTTGGATGAGTACTACGAAAGCAAAGAATCAGTAAGTTTTCTTTTGAGTCTCTATATGTTTCCTTTTGAGTCTCTATATGCTTAGTTTCTCGTTATTGCGGTTCCTGAATCGTTCTTTGTACTAGTTTCTATCGATAATCTGACTCCTTTAGTCCGCTTGCTTCATCACCTTTTTGTTTATTGGTTAGTTGGATAAAATTTTGTTCGATGTACATTTTGGGTAAGCTTTGAAGCAAAGCTAGTTTCGAGTGTTTATTTGCCCTTTGCTTCTAAGCTAATGAACACAACAATATACAACCAATGGAAAGGATACCACATCAATTATAAAAATTGTGATTGGTAGTCAGAAATGGATGGATTGGTTTTAGAGTTACTACTCTCTTTAGTCATTGATTTGCATATGTTCCTCAAGTATATCTTGTGGTTAGCACTTAGTACTCATTTGTTGAATCGAATGCAGGATATGAAGACCGTGAAAGCAAAGGAGATGCCGGGGAAAGTACAGAGTGTATAAGCAACCATATATAAACTTCTTTCCTCTTTGGCCAATTCTAAAACCTGCTTGAGTCTTGAGGAAAGTTTTCTTCAGATGATCGATCATTGAATCCATTTAATCTTAGCGATCTCTTTTGGTATATTTTCAAACCTATGTAGCTCTTTGTAGTTTTATGTAACAATGGTGAAATCTCCAAAGCAAAATGGAAATGCCATTGATCATTTGGTTTGTTGTAAGTTTAATCACATTATTTACTTTTTATGCTATCATTATATTATAATTTATATATTATATTTCATTAGATACAATTTATACATATTTGTAGTTTGTGTTCTTCAAAACATGAACTTGAATTATCAAAAAAAAAAAAAAACATGAACTTATCAAAAAACTTTTTTTAATTATAATGGATTAATATGTTTTAAAAACGTTAAAATAGCCCTAAAACTAGTATCCGATTTAAATTCGATTTTCTGTTAATCGCTTGGCCCATACCGAGTGCTGCCTAGTGCCTAGCAATTTTTCGAACAAGGAGTTGATTTGTTGCTTTTGAGATTTATGAATACTTTTGCTAATCATACAATACTTAATTGTTTTTCTATTTTTCATCATGATGATAAAAAAAATTAATTCCTACTTATATTACAGGCCCATTGTAAAGGCCCAAATGTAGTCCACTCACAGTAGCCCGATACTTCCCTTTGGCCAATAGACTCACAATATCCTAAGTATATTAATTTTAACGTCATTTATATATGGACCGATTAAATAAAGGAATATTAAAAATGTAATAAAGCTGAGGAAAAAAATAAAAAACAAACGAAGAAAGGGTTTAAGTTAGGGCTTTTGTGCGTCTCCCTTTCTTCTTCTCTTCCCAATTTCTCCGCCTCTCTATCGCCGGAAATCAAACAAAACCACCATGATTCGCGGCGGGAGAAGCTACGTTACTTCACCTCCATCATTCTCCAACGACGCTAAAAAGCTCCTCGTCTGCACAGGAAACACTGTCTCTGTTTTCAGCGCCGCCACTGGCTTACAGGTACCAAAATTTTGATTCTTCTCCGATTTGTTAGGGTTTCTCTTCGAATCATTGATTGATTGATACATTTCTTTGCCCTTTTTTAGATTACTTCGCTTGAAGGTCATACAGCTCCAGTAACAACTCTAATTGTTGTTCCTGCATCGACCCCTGCTCAAAAAATCCTTTGTTATTGTTGGACTGCGTCTCTTGATGGTACAATTCGTCATTGGGATTTCTCTGGACCTGAGCTTTTGAAAACCATTGATGCTCAGCTTCCTATTTACTCTATGGTGAGTTTAAAAAGTTTAATACTTTTTGGTTTTGTGAGTGTTTTGTTTTATGAAATGAATATATGTGTTGTGTGTGTTTTAGGTTATTCCTTCTCTTTTGAGTGAACCTCAGCAAATTGATAAACGTCGTGAATTATCTGGTAAGCTGGTTGCTTTTGTTTCGGTTGAGGATATAAGTGTGGTTAACGAAGGGTCTAAAGAGTTGCGTGGACATATCCGGAGATTTAACCTTGCTAAACCGCGTGTTCCTCGTGGAGACACTTTGAAAGAGGTTTGTTTTTAATGGAGTTATTTGAAAGAGGTTTGTCTTTAATGTTGTCTTGAAGTTGGATTGTGTAAGCTCAAGTCATTTGCTTATTTCTTTGTGTAGACGGCAGAACCAGAATCTATTGTTATCAGTCCCTCGGGAGAGTTTTTCGGAATCTGTCACAAGTGTAAAATTCATATATGGGATATTCCTTCTGGAGGATCAAGGCATGCTGTTTCAAGGAAGATGACACTACATCACACAAAGGTTATCAATGCTTTTGCTTTTCATCCCACGGAGAGAGTTATAGCTGCTGGAGATGTAACGGGAAGAGTATTGATTTGGAGAGGATTCGGTAATAGAAAACTTGCCTTGGGTAATCAAAAGAAAAAAGTGAGAGCAACGGTTGATTTGGACAACCCTGGAGTGAGAGGTGAAGATGATACTGAATCTTGCACTACATGGCACTGGCACTCTGCTGAAGTAAACGTCCTTAATTTCTCTTCCGATGGAGCATATTTGTATTCAGGTGCGGCCGAGTTATATTCTGATATCCATGGGATTTATCACCCGATATAGACTAATAGGTCATAAGCAAATTAACTGTTTTGAAAGTTATGTCTTGAGTTCTCACTCCATATTGCGTCTGTTTTCTGACTCTTTAGGGGGAAGGGAAGGGGTACTTGTCGTTTGGCAGCTAGACACAGGGAAGAAGAAATTCTTACCAAGAATAGGATCTCCCTTGCTGTATTTCGTGTGGTCTCCAGATCCAACTCTTTCTTCTGTAAGTCAGAGCTTACTGTTTCAATCTAATCTAACACACAACCTGCTGAAAGCAAAAGGGAATGTTTTACTGATTTGACTAAGAACGAGAGCTGCAGGTGGTTTGTGCAGATAATCAGATCCATCTGCTTAAAATGCCTTCCATGGAGATCTTAAGGACCATTTCTGGAATCAAGGTTTGTCTTAAGAAACTTAATAATTAAGCACCTGAAGACCTTTTCTTGTCAGTTTTGTCAATGATTCTAGCATTCTAGACATTCTCGCAACTGCTTTACCTTTTCTTTGGCATTTACTTCAATTCGTGTTATTTTGTTACAGACTCCTCCATCATTGCCTAGGATGTATGAAGGCTTGGCTAGTACTGTTGCCTTTGATCGATCTTCTGGCATAGCTGCTTTGTGCACAGAGAATTATTGTGTACAGCTATACAATCTTCTTAATGACCGGGGAATTTCAGAGGTTAGAATTTGGCTCCAATATCTCCTTAAGGAGCTCTATGCCACTTTCTGCTGTCTATGAATTCTCTAAGTTGGTATATGATAGTTGTAAGGTTAACTATCAACCAATGCTTTTGCAACGTTTTTAACCAATGCTTTTGCAGATTCAAGTTTGTGAGAGAAACCATCAACCAGGCGATGAAATCACAGTAAGTACATTTCCTTACTGTGTATTTGGTAGTATATCTAAGATTATTTTTGTTTGGGTGATAATTTGAGAAACCGGTAATAGGTTGTGGTGACAGCGGTTGCTCTCTCCCTGGATGGCTCAGTGATGAGTACAACCGAGGTGAAACTTCCGGAAGATGGCATAGGAGGCTTAGTGTCCCTCAAGTTTTGGGCGTCTGAACCAGACAGCAAAACTTTCACCTTATCCACAATCGTATATGAACCTCACAGGTTAATAACTCACCCTCTGCTAATGGATAAAGCTTTATTTTTCATCATTACCCAATTTTCTTGTCATTTATCATTTCTTGTAAACCTAGCAAACCTAGATTTCGATTTCACTGATTTATTCTACAAACTGTTATATCCTTTGCAGAGAGTAAATTTTCTCCTTCTTTATATCTTACAGGGATGCCCGTGTCTCAGCCATTGCGTTCCACCCTACCCGCTCCATGGCAGTGAGTACATCATTCGGTGGAGACTTCAAGGTAGTTCTTAAACTGATTTTACATTTTTCTCTCTGTATTTTTTGTTTGTTATTATTGTCTTACTGATATCACTTTCGCTGTTTCAGATTTGGGTTTGCAATAGTGACAAGAAACAGACAGATAAGGACTCTAGCTGGATATGTCACGCTGTTGGCTCTTATAAGTAATTTCTTCTCTATGCATTAGGAAACTTCAACATTCACAAATTATTCGCCTTGGCGATCAAATTAAATATTCTCTTGCCTTTGAATATTTTCCAGGAAGAAGCCAATGACTGCTGCTGCTTTCTCTGGGGATGGCACTGTTCTGGCTGTTGCGGCTGAGAATGTTATTACTCTTTGGAATCCATACAAGAACATTCTCTTGTCTGTTCTAGGAACCACACTTACGGTAAAAACCTGTTATCCATAAAAAAGCTGGAAACTTTTTCCATAAAGACCAATGTTTAAACCTCTCAATATATTACAGCCTGTCACGAAGCTCTGTTTCGCTGGAAAGTCTGAGTTCCTTGTTTCTGCATCCCATTTTCCAAGACCTGAACTATCTGTTTGGAATACATCAAAGTTATCTTTATCATGGTCATATGGATTACGCATAGAAGGTCAATATTATAATGCTTATTTGATTTCCCCATGAAAACTCTTGCTGTGGTTTACTTAGTAAATGTTTATTCTCTTTCTGCAGCCGTCACCTCTGCAGTGGATTCATCAGCATTTGCAGTCTTGGCTGTGATCCCAAAAAGTTTTAAAACAGATGAATCTAATGAGAACATCTTCCGTGGTAGAGATGGTGCCATTCTTTTGTTTAACGGATCAGATCCTAAGCCAGTATCTATATGGACTGTGATTAAGGTATGACAAAAGAAATAGCCCGTTAATATATAACCCTAAAGAAAGAGAGATGAAACCAACGAGTTAAACAATGTCTAAATTGCAGGCTAAGGGAGGATCAATCTCATTTTTAGAAGGAGACAAGTCTCAGCTTCGCCTAGCGTATGTAAATGGAAGCCGTGAGTATGTTGTTTTTGATCCCAATAGCGATGAGTCACACGAGCGTAGCGCTGTTGACTACGACAGTCTTACTGGTCTGGAAGAGACAGGTAAAAGAAAGTTTTAAAACAAAGTAGGAAAGAAACTTTATTGATTATACCATGTTATTAATCGAAAAAGTCTCAATATTTTAGGAGACGCCGGGTACACATCCTTGTATGGTCAGTTACCTGATTATGACAAGAAGAGAATGGAAGATGTTGACTCGTTAGCAACACCATTTATATCATCAGAGAGGCCATGGGAAACAATATTCAGCGGCTCTACACTAAATTTCCCGCCACTTCAGAAATTATGCGCTGAGTTCTTTGAGTCCCTAATGGAGAAAAGAACGGCCGTTGTGGAATGAGACCTTACACAAGAAGGTTTTGTAAGGTTTCATACAGGAGCTCATTTTTGCAGCCATATTTTGGTGAGCAAAGTTGTTGAGTTTGTTCAGGAAATTTTGTAGCTTTTGGTTGTGAGATTCGGTCCACTTTTATGTTGTTGCTACCAAATTTTGACTCAAAAATGCAGGATTCTAACAAGTGTGCCCTGTTTGACCCAAAAAACAATAACGTAAAACGAAATATCACTATATGTTTTTCATTTCTTTCTAAAATTCTGCAATCATTTATATATCTTAATGATGTTTTTTTCTGCAAGTTAAAACCAAACTAAAAACTGTTCTTAGAAGCATAGTGAGTTTCTTCCCTTTTTTGTTTTTTTTTTACATTTTAGAAAAGGATTCCATTCCAAAATCTACAAAAATCATATTAATTTTTTTTTTGTGAAAATACTATTTACTCTGTTTCACAAAGAGTGTCGTTTTAGAATTAATTTTGTTTTTAAAAAATGTTGTTTTACATTTTCAATGTGATTTTTGTAACTAGTTTTCAAATTTACCATTAATCCAAAGCTAAAGATCTTTGTATTTATTATGTAAGTAATGATTTCACTAGAACTTCGGTTAGAAAAATTGTAAAAAAAAACAAATTAGAACCGGAAAACAGATTGTTCAACCAAATTCTGACCGTGGTTTTCTAAATTGAAACTCAAAACATATTAAATGGAATCGACGAGACACAAGAGTTAAGCAAAACAATTTGGGACCTTTGCTTTTTTTTGCCTTTAGATTCTCAATAATTGTGAAACGAGTCAGGTGCTCCTAACCCACCAAAAGAAATTATTCCAAAATCCAAATATTTCAACTAACATCTTCCATTATTTTATTTTAACTTTTCTTAATAACATTTTGCATTATTAAGTTGGGAATGCAAATAGATATTTCATATTTTATGATTCGAGGTTTATCTATCATATATTTAGCTCTTTTCGTGGTCCAATATGTTGAGAAAAAAGGTAATTGCTTAGGGGACACTTACCTTTTTATTTTTATTTCCACATGCATGTAGGACAATAGTTTGCAAGGTTTGTGTTACGTCTTGGAAAAGCTTTCTACTTTTGAAAAAGATATTAAAAATATAATTGTTTTTCCTTCAAACAACAAATTATTTATCCAAGATTAGTAAAAGTTTTTAAGAAAATTCTACAAATGTGGTTGAATTGGCAACCCAACTTTGCATAGAAAACTTTATTAACCACAGAAGATAATTAGAGATAATTTTTTTAAAATAAGATATGTAAATCTTTTGTATCACTCAGGTTAATTAACATAAACATCAAATGTTATTGTATTAAGTATTAACATAATTAACTAGATCATAACCCGTGCTGGAACAGCACGGATAAAATTTTAATTTTTAAATATTTATATAAAGTTGGATTATTGTTTGTTTTTTAGTACAATTTTAATAATTCTTTACATAATACAATGACATATAAGGATTTTTTGTTTTATTTTATTTTGTTTGATGAGAAAATATTAGGGGTGGGGTACGGTTTTTCGGTTTAGTATCGTTTTTTTCGTTTTGTAGAAAGTGAAACCATATAGAAACCGTATGTAATTCGGTTTAGTTATAGTTCGATTTTTACGGTTTTTTACGTTTTTTTGGTTAAAAATAAAACGTATGTATTTGATATATGCTAGTAGTAAGTGAAAAAAAATTGCGTATATAATAAACATATTTTGGTATATAATAAGATTAAATTCAACCCGTGCGTACCTATATTTTTATTTTAGAATCCCAATGAAAAAATTGTGTGCACAATCCATCATTCATTATTTTCATATATACTTATAGAATCAAAATTTTAAATATTTAGAGGTGTCAAACCTTATTTAACTCATCTCATCATATAATCTTAACATGGTTTCGGTTATAAAGATCATACCTCTTTTTATCATATAATACATTAAATTTAACCTGCTGCTTGCTATAAATATTTAAAATATTTATGCTTTGAAAAATAAAATTAGAATATTTATAACTTTTATCTTTTGATTTATTAAATATTTATGATATTCTTAAAAATATTATATTAAACTATTTAAAATTTTTCCAAATTAAAATATTTTTTTATTTTTTATTGTAGAATATAAAATTAAGAATTTTTAAAAAATAATTGTATGAACTTAAATATAAATATTCAAATAGTTATAAGGATCATAACTCATTCCATCATATAATACATTATATTTAACCCACCGTCTATTATAAATATTTTTAAATATATTTGTTTTAGGAAAACCAAATTAGTGTATGTCTAATTTTTAATTTTTTTATTTATTAAGTATTGATGATATTTGTTTTTAAATATCAAGTCAAACTATTTTTAAATATTCCAAATTAAAATATTTAAAAATTTATAGTAGTATATAAAATTATATATTTTTAAAAAATATATGAAATTGAATATAATTACTCAAATTCTGACCCGTTATTCAGGCGAAATTTTTGTTGAATTTATTTTTGTTTAAAAGAAATATATTATCCAAGTCTAAATTTTTGATTCGTTAATTTTTTTTTTTCATAAATTGAATAATTTATATTCGTTTTTAAAAATTCAAATCATGGCATATGCGGAAAAAAATCTATTTTTTATTATTATATGGATGATATGATGATTTATTTGTTTCACAATAATATAATCATATAAAGATGAGAGGTGAAATATATATTCATTTTGATTAATAACAAATTAATAAGGTAAGTTAGATATCAAATCTTATATATTCATTTTGATTGGTCATTTAAAAATAATAATAATGTATTTTTCGTTTTTATAATTAAATTAAATTAATTAAATTGTATAAATTGACTTGTTTATCCTTAATGAGATGAATTAATTTACTCTTTGAAATTTTATCTCTAATGGCATTCTTAAGTAAATTTTTACAAAAGGGAAGGTTAGTTAAGGGTATCTTATAAAGTGTACTCCCCAAATAATAGTATAGGATACCCAAAATTATATAAACATCAAATGTTATTGTATCCTATACTATTATTTGGGGAGTACACTTTATAAGATACCCTTAACTAACCTTCCATTTTGTAAGAATTTACTTAAGAATGCCATTAGAAATAAAATTTTATAGAGTAAATTAATTCAACTCATTAAGGATAAACAAGTCAAATACTATTTTATGCAATTTAATTAATTTAATTTAATTATAAAAACGAAAATCTATTATTAATTTTTTTTAAAAGAATGACCAATCAAAATGAACATATAAGATTTGATATCTAACTTATCACATTAATTTGTTATTAATCATTATACTACACCTCTCATTTTTATATTATTCTATTTCTATAAAATAAATAAATTATTATATCATCTACATAATAAAAAAAAAAGTAAATTTTTTCCGCATATACAAAGATTTGAATTTTTAAAAACGAATATAAATTGTTTAATGTATGAAAGAACAAATTTAACGGGTCAAAAATTCATATTTGAGTAATATATTCCTTTTTTTAATATCATCAATACTTAATAGATCAAAAAGTTAAGAAATATAAATACTCTAATTTGATTTTTTGAAACAAATATTTATAATAGGCGGCGGGTTAAATATAATGTATTATATGATGAAATGAGTTATGATTTTTATAACTATTTGAATATTTATATTTAATTTCATATATATATATTTTTAAATTCATAATTTTACATACTACAATAAAAATTTTTAAAGATTTTAATTTGGAACATTTGAAAAAGTTTAATTTAATATATTAAAGAATATCATAAATATTTAATAGATTAAAAAGATAAAAAAAAATTATAAAATACTAATTTGATTTTCTAAAAAGATATGTTTAATATATTTATAGTAGGCGGCGGGTTAAAAGTAATGTATTATATGATAGAAAGTTATGATCCTTATAATAGACGATATTTTAAGATTTTATGATGAGATGAGTTAATAAGGTTTGACACTTCTAAATATTTGAAAATTTAATTCTGCAAGCAATTTTGGAAATAATGAATAATAGATTGTGCCAAAATATTTTCATAGGAATTGTAAAATGAAAATATAGACTCCACACACGGATCGAATTTGGTATTGTTATATACCAAATATATGTTCATAACATATTCGATTATGTGAATAATTGGTAAATTCCGTAATTAGCTCAAACAAATCTCTATTTCAACAACCAATGAATTAGAATTTGAAAAAATAATTTCCTAAATTAATTCAAAATAATAGCTAACTTTTTTAACTAATTCAAAATAATCTACGTTTTAGATGCGATTCATTTATGATATTTTGATTTTTGATCTAACTAAATTATATGCACTCTCATTTTGTGGTTGTTAACATAAATTAACTCATGGTTCAAACAATATTATTTGTTTGAAAATAATATTAATTTCCGTTTTCATATCTTTAAAAAATATATCCATAATTGAGGATTACAGAAAAATAAAAATATATTCATTCTAATATTATATATATGGACTGACATAAAAAATTAATATTTTTTACTTACTATTATAATATATCACGATTTTATTCTATAACTATATAATATATAAATTTTGTAATAAATGAAATTCAACCCGTACTGTAGTACGGGTGATGATCTAGTTAGGTATTAACATAATTAAACAAAAAAAAAGTATTAACATAATTAATATCAGAATTTATACTTGCGGGCTATTTAATTGTAGATTGGTATTACGATAGTTTTCTGTGTCGTACACCTGGCATGGGCTCCCACCAAATAAGTATCCACAAATTTAACTTATTATTGTTGTATTGATCCAAGACTGCATTATTATTAAACACAAATTATGTAAATACAATGATTAATGTTTTTAGTTTTAGATAGAATCATTGATCATCAAATGGTATCCTAGGGCTAGGCCGTGGCATGCTCAAATTGGTTGAGTCAGAGATCTTGAAGACTCTTTGATTATGATATTATGATTATAAAAAATGACTTAATTTTGGTAGACGATTTTAATATTGAAGTTCGACTCCACTGATCACATACAAGAGATTAGTAGTATAAGAGCTTCTGAAAAGAAAAGCATTTTTTTTAATGATTTGATCACCCATTATTTTTTTTGCATTACAATTTTCAAAAGATAATGATATTTGATGAAAAAGTCAAAAATGATTGTGTTTACTCTAATAAGTAGTAACAATTTAATTAGTAAATGCAAAACAACAGGA